TCCGTCTGAGCAGGGGCGCCAGAGAGAGAGCGCTGGGCGTGATATGACACCGGGGGGGGGAGGACAGGGCCAGAGAAATGCATTGTCCTCTTAAAGAGGCTGTGGTTTTATTGCTCTTAAAAGTTTTTTTTTTTTGGTACGTTCCTCCAGCAATAAAACGCTGAAATGGACGCACGACAAATCGATGCTGCGCCATCCAAAGTGCCTCGGCGAGGCAGCTGGGCTTTTTTTTAATCTGATTTTATTTTACTGGGACATGTCCATTAAATCATACAGGAATAATGGAGACTTCATCTCCTCCCGCCTCCCCAGCCCCCTCTTTAAATAATTCATGCTTTCCAGGAAAATGCAGCAAAGTCGTGCTTTTCGCCCGGAGGATGATGGGGGAGCTGCTTCCATCACGTTCTCGGGGCTCGGGTTTGGAATTTGACTCATAAATTTAGCTGATGAAGTTGAATGCTCCGGAGAGTGAGGCGCTACAAATACTAAGAGCTTCCCATTGACAAGGAGAGCAGGGGCCCCATCCAAAACCCATTGATGCCAATGGGCAGCCTCCCCTTGGCTTCAGTGGGCATTGAAACCATGTATGAGGAGCAGTCCTGGGTACAGGCCCCCTTGCTCCTGTCTCCTGGAGAGTCACCAGTGAGAGCAGTCATGGCTTCCCACACACTGTTCTACTATCCAACTTTCCCCGGTGCCAGTAGGGTGACCAGATGCCCCAATTTTATAGGGACAGTCCCGATTTTTGGGTCTTTGTCTTATATAGGCTCCTTTTACCCCCCCAACCCCCTGTCCTGATTTTTCACACATGCTGTCTGGTCACCCTAGGTGCCAGTGGGTGCTCACGCCCCCCTGACCCTGCCCTGACTCCACCCTTTCCACTCTCCCCTACAGGGGCACTGAGGTGGTTCAGAAGGCACCATCGCCCTCCACACGCTTCTCCAAGTAGAGCTGATTTATTTCTCTGCCAAAAAATAGCCAGGTTTGGTTCAAACCTATTTTTATCAGGGGAAAAAAAGATTCTTGTCAAAAAAGTTCCAAGCAGTTTGAACCTCTAGCTTCCTTGGGCTGCCTTGTGGGGAACCTTCGACCCCTCCCCTCCTGGCCTTTGACCCCCTGTGCCATCATGCCGGTGACGAGGGGTTGTCATCACTGCAGCGTTAACCCAGAGTCTTCCCCGGCATTGCCCCTGCCCCCCTCCCATCCGCACACAAAACCCTCTCACCCGAGTTTGATGGTGCTTTCAGCCCAGGCGCGCTGGCCCAGCTGGGGATAGAGGCCAGAGCCTGGGTACAACTGTCCCTTGGGCTGGTAACTCACCTGCTTTGCAGTGAGGCCACAGGGCAAAGCTCTCAAGTGCTGATAGTCCTCTAGTGCATTCCCCCCGAGTGCCCTGAAGGGCAGACAAGTTCTCCCCCACTTCCCTGGGAAAGACTCCCAGAGCGGCTCAGTGCACTGCAGCACAAAGACCCCTGGGATGTGCCCCAGAAATGGGAGGTGCAGCACCCATCCAGACCCAGTAACTCGGGCAGGGCTCTGCAGTGTGGCTGCTCGCACCCGCGCTAGCCTAGCCCAGGCACTAACTCCGCAGGAAGACACGTCCTAAGTGGCACTGCCCAGCCAGGGATATTTTATTGCCACCCAGGAGGGGATTAGAAACCTCTTGGGGGCCCACGTACTGCTGCCCAGGGGGCATTGGAAACTTCCTGTGGGTGGGTCTAGGTGGCTAGAGACCTGGGAGATCCAGTTTGGGATGGGGCTCCGTCGCTGGCTCCCCGGGCTAAGAGGGCATCTGTGGAGGCACAGCAGGGACTGCCTGGCCTGGAGCAGCATTCCCGGGCTCGCCCTGATGCCTGGCCTGGGGGGGAAATCCAAGGGATTCCCTTCCTCCAAAAAGTCTCTGTTTTTAATGTTAATGGGCCTGAATCCCTGCTGTGATCAGCTCTGCTCAGGCAACTTAAAGGGGTGTAAAGCACCCAGATCTCCCTTCCCCAGGCCTAGGAGAGCACAGGGGGTGGGGAGCCAGTGTCTATCACTTCCCTGTCTAGCATAGGACCAGGGAGAGGAGACGGCTACAATCCCCAGCCAGTTGGGGGCAATAACCAGCTAGTCTAGCTTCCATCAGCCCCACGTTGCTCTCTGTGCTGGGGCTGGAGCCTGCAGGGACCTGGCCCCAGAATCAGCAGATGCTGGACGCTGCTGAGAAGTTGACACACTGGGGTGTGTGTGTGTGGTGGGGTTGTTATAAACTAAAGAGAAACAAAAAATCTCAGAAAATAGCCAAACTGTGACTGCTCTGGGTGCAGCGCTGCCCAGCCACTGTCAGAACCAAATGCAAGCCCACCCCCCAAGGAGCCGGAGACCCTCCCCTCAGGAATTGTGCCCTAGAGCTGGGCCCTGGGCTTGTGGAATTGGGGGCTGGATCTGAGCTTGGCAGGGGCTGGAGGCGAGGGGCCAGTTCAGGAGCTGTAAGGAGACATCCCAGTCGATCAGGGAAGCGCTGGGAGACTCCTTCCCCGCAGTGTCAATGCGGGCTCCATTTCGGTCTTAGCGACCCCCAGGCTAATCTGGGGGAGGCAGGCGGAGGTCATGACAGCTTTGAGCGGAGTCTGCTGCTCACTCCCCTCCCCTCCGCCCTCTGATAAATGGCTCCAGACAATAATGTGCTGCTGTTAAGTACGCGGGATCTGAAAAAGGCTTTAAGTGAACTTGGTTGCTTTAATCAAAAGTCCATTAAGTGTTGCTTGGAGCCATCGAGGGAAAGGCTGTTCCGATCTGGCTTTATCAGCAGGTAACACCCACTTAGCGGAGCGAGAAGACAGCTCTATGTTCTTCTCCCAGGCCCAGCCCTCCCTGGGCCTGGCCAAGTTCCAGCTGCGTGTAACATAACTATCTGCAGGGGCTGGAGTGGCAGGATCACACTGCAGGCACTTCCCCCAGGGGCTGTGCCATGGCATCCGTTCCGGATGGGCACTGACCTCCAGGGCCAGTGATTCTGCCCAGGTTTCACCCAGTTGCCGGATTCCTGGGCTGCCTGGGGAATCTACTCAGGAGAGGTGGGGCCGAGAGCGGGTCTGTAGAAGGGTGACTCTGGCAGGTCTTTGTGGGATTGGGGGAGTTTGGGTCTATAATGAGGGCGAGGCCAAAGGGACCTGCCTGTCCATCGCTGCTCCTGTCTGCCCTGCTCTGCCCCATACCACCCGTGCGGTGCCTGGCTTTCATCCCCGCGTGGGAGAAACAGCAAAGCGAAGACCAGGTTGCGGACAGCAGTACCCACCCTAGAGCGGCAGGGCAGAGCCCGCGGCGTTTAGATCTCAATGTGCTGTTGGTTCTGTACCTGGCCCCGGAGTTCTGCCTCGCACTGGCGCCCTGGCAGGCGTGAGGGGTATGGAGAGGGGAAGATAGAAAGGTCGGGGGGGGGGGGTGGCCCCTAATGCCATGTTGATGGATGTCGTACAAGAGCCTAACCGGCCGGAGAGGGAGGCATGACAGTGGGAAAGGGGAACCCTTTAGAGCGGTATGTACATCTGGGGCTGGCAGGGAGCTCGCAGTGTCTCTGTTCCCCTCTCCAACATGTTTGCCTTTGCTCTGGTTTTTCTCGGCCCAGGTTACGAAGGCAGCAGAATGCCCCGCTCTTTGGGAAGATCCGGAGCTCCCGGTTTGGCCCCGACGACCCTGACGACGGGACTAGTGACCTGGATGAAGATGAAGATCTACAGATCCAGGTTCCTTAGTGCCTGGTGCGCAGGGCCAATGAGACGGTGGCTGGAGGAGAGAGAAGGAGGCGGCAGGCTGGACGCTTGGGGAGGATAATACCTGCAGGAGCCTGGTCCCGTTCACCGGCCTCGCCATCGGCAGCCAGACCTGCCAAGAGCCAGCAGAGGACGTGTGCGGATACAGCCTCTGGCCCTGCTGGCCTGTGTCACCACCAGTCATGGGGGGAGAGGGGGTCCTGGAGAGAAACCCCGTGGCCAAGTGCCCGTCCCAGGGGGCAGGATCGGTTCTACCCCAGTGGGTTTTGTAGACACAGGGAGAGAAAGCGCCAAAGGGTGGGTTGAAGAGAAATCCCCAGGTGGCTGTAACCATGAGAGGAGTAGGGAGGGGCCAGGTGGCAGAGCATGAATGGCCGCCCTGGGTAGAACAATGGCATCGGTGCCGATACTGTATAAATGATGCCAGCAGCTGAGGTGTAGTGGAGGCCCCTGCAGTGGCTGAGTCTGGGCATTGCATGGTACGCAGTGCAGTCTCTACCCCTTCAGCCCCTGCCCGGAGTGCCCTCTGCAGTTCCAGCCTCCTGCACATGCCCTGCCCAGTCCCTCCCTCCCCAGCTCGCTCCTGGCACATGGCTTTCACCTGACAGGCCCCATCTCTGACGCCACCAGCCCCGGCCTCGGTTCCAGCCTAACCTGGGAACCATTTGCATCTCAGCATCACACGCGAATGAACTGAGCCTCGAAACCAATGACCTCCCTTTTACTGATGGGGAAACTGAGGCACAGAGCAGAGCAGTGACTTGCCCAGGATCATGGCCCTCCAAGGCCTGCACCTCGGGCACTAGGCCCTGCCTCCTCCCCATGAGCCCTGTCCACCCACAGCCGCTCTCCCTCACTCCCGTTTGAACACATGCACCTCACAGCATAAACGGACATTGCAACGATACACCGGAGAGCGTCCAAGGCAGAAAGCAGGCGGCGCTAACCCGGATGAGCCCGGCCCCTGGAGCACTGACAGCTGGAGCCAAATACACCGGAGCAAACCCTTCTATTTTATATACGGATTTTATATATATGTATGTATTTGTATATGGTTTATATTATAAATAGAGCTATGGGCCCAGGTGATTGCTGTGGTCGGTATGGTGCAGTCCTTTTCCCCCCACACCTAACCCCTGCGCTATTCTGTACTGTGCCCGCCTGCTGGGGTGGGCTGGCGGTCCCTGGCCAGGCAAGCGGTTGCTGTGCCGGCCGCGGGGTGGAAACGGAGGCTGGTGGAGACAGGAGATCAGGAAGCAGGTGGCTTCTTCGCCAGGGAACGTTTACAGACAGCGTCTGACAGCTGGCGGGGGGAGGGTTGTAATAAATTGAATTTATGATAAACCCAAGTGTGGGACTAGAGGTGTCATCTGCTGGGATGCCCAGGGCAGGGGCTTGCCTAGATGGGAAGTATGAACCCCCCACAGGCTCGTAAGGGGTTAATGGGTGCCTGAGAGCCTATTGCACCTGGAGGGCATGTCAGGCTCAGTTCAGGAGCAGGCCGAGCTGGGATGGTTTCCATAAGGCGGGCGGGGACGTAGGGTGGTCAGGCCGAAGACCAACCCAGCCTCAAGGGGAAGAGAGAGGACACTTCAGGAGCCAGGTTGCACTCCGATGGTGGCGCCTAGGGAGGGGTGAGGAATTGAGGGACGTGGCCCTGGGGGTCGGTGTCCTGACGGGGATGGGAAGAGAGACGGGCATCTCAGACTCCTAGGAGGGGGAGCAAGGTGGTGGCGTTGTTTGATGCTACTTGCTGAAGAGGCTGGCCCTGAAGTGAGAGGCTGGGTGGGGCAGAAGACTTCTTGGCTTGCTACCTGTGTCTCTTACTACGGGCCAGTGGGATGCTAGAGGGATATGACTGGAGGGCTGAGTTATCCCCCCACACACACACACTCCCATGTCATGTGGTGCGGGACATCACTTTTAACAGGCGCTGGCAGAACCATGTTGTTTTCCCTTTGAATGAACCACTGCTCTTACCATTCCCGTGACATCCAGGCAGAGCCTACAGGGCAGCTGAAAAGGGCCTTGGCTTGGGGCCTAAAACGCTAGTAAAAAAACCCCTAAACAATAATGGCCGGTGATAACAATTTTATAGGGAGCCGGGGGTTTATTGCCCCCATAACAGAGTGTGATGTAACGGCAAGGAGCTCACTTCCTCCAGAGCCCAGGAATCCCTGGAGGGAACGCTGCAGGAGCGCCCAGTGCGGGGCAACTCCCAGCATCTCCCAGCAGGGGGTGCTCTGGGAGGGGGGCAGCAGCTCCGGTTTGGGGGCGCTCCCAGAAACTCTACCCCCGCTGGTTTTCAACGAGGAAGTTGAAGCTGGCGAAAAGACAAACTTCGCTGCCTTTTGCGGGTTGCCCCCCGGTTTTCTCCCTCCCCTCCAGGGCATGCTAAGCCCCTGGATCTAATCGCAGTCCCTCCAGGATTAATCTAGCCCATAATCTTCAAAGCCCCTGCACCAGCATCCTGCATTCAGGCGACTCCCCTCCCCAGCCGGGCCCTTCTCAGACACACAGCAGACACAGTCAGAAGGCGAGGGGAGTTCGCTCCAGACTCATTGGCACCTAAAACAAGATAGCGTCTGTGCAAGCGGGTAATTACAGCGCCTGGGTCTTCCTGCGGCCCCTGTTTGCAGAGGGCCAGCTCAGCGCTCAGGAATCCCGCTTGTCACCTGGAGATGGGAGAGCAGAGCAGGGGGAAGGGGGTGAGTGGGTCTGAGAAACCCAAATTGCTCCTAACTGAAGGGGTGGCAGAGTTCAGGCCGAGACTCCATCGCCCTTTGAAACTGTGGTCAGAGGGGAAATCCCTCCACGTAACAAGCTCAGAGAATCGGAGCAGGCGAGGGCTGGAAGGGACTGGAGAGGTCAGCTAGTACCCAGGCAAACCAGCGACACCCCCCTAGGCCATCCCTGACAGGGGTTTGTCCAGCCTGTTCTTAGAAACCTCCGGTGATGGGCCGTCCTTCCACCACCTCTCTGGGACCCCTATTAACTAGCCGATACTTACAAAGCTTGTTCTAATCCCTAGCCTAATGCTCCCTTGCTGATGGTTAGGCCACTGACCTGCTGGCCTACCTTCAGGAGCAATGGGTTCCTGGCTTCTTCGTAACCTACTAACATCTCTGAAGCCTCTTAGCAGGAATGTACAACTCAGATTCCAACATCACCCTTAACTCTGCCCCCTCCCTGGTCCTCCTTCCCTCCAGGGTGGGAACCTTCAGCAGGTGCATCTGCCCCCCGGAGGATTCCAGCAGCATGGTCCTTGGCTGAGTGAGGATAGATCCGGCCTCCACCCTCCCAGCTTCAGAGGGGGCTGGTGTTTGTGCTACGCTGGGGAGGGCTCCCCGGATTAGTCAGGAGTCTGTGCATGCTGGAGGCTGGGTCTTGCTGCAGGTCAGTGAGCAGGAGGCAGATTGAACAAGCCGAGGACTAGCAGATTGAACTTCACCCCACAGGACCTGCTGGGACTGGCATAGCCGTGAGCTCCCCACAGCCCGTCAGCACTCAGCCCCTGCTCCCTACAGCGCCTCCTGCTGGGAGAGGCTGAGGGAAGGGGAGGGAGGAGCTGCCCTTCCTGCCAGGGCAGGTGAGGAGAGCCGTCCCACTCATTGCAGCGCCAGCCGGGGCCTAGAGCGTGAAATCCCACAGGAAGAAAGCCAGGGGGCCAGGCAAATTCATCTCTTTGCTCCCCATCCTGTGGAGCGGGAAAGTCTGGCCAGGGCCAGCTCCAGGCACCAGCCCAGCACGCAGGTGCTTGGGGCGGCCAACGGAGAGGGGCGACACGTCCGGCTCGTCGGCGGCAATTCGGCGGCGGGTCCCTCGGTCCCTCTCGGAGCGAAGGACCAGCCGCCGAATTGCCGCCGAAGACTGAAGCAGCAGAGCTGATCGCAATCGCGGCTTTTTTTTTTTTTGTCGCTGCTTGGGGCGGCAAAACCCCTGGAGCCGGCCCTGAGTCTGGCTCAGCCGAGCAGGTGGGCACCGTGCCTGCCTGGGGCGCTGTGTATTTCTCAGACCACCTGGGCTAACAACAGTATCAATTAGCTAGGGCTGAACCAGCTTGTTTTAAATATGCATCCGCCCCCTCAACCACTGTGAACCTTTCCCTACCCCTCTGCCGGAGCCAGAGTTCCGCCCTCCCCTTTCCTCGAATGCACAAAGGCCTCTTCCCTGGGTCACCAGGCCACCAGGTCACCCCCGCTAGAAGGGAGCCGAGTGGCTGGGGGGGATCTGCAGGAGTAGGGCCCGGCCATGGGGCCTGGGGACCGAGCAGGCCTCAAAGGTGGTTTTGGACTCGGGTGTGAACTCTCGGATGCTTCCAAAGCAAAGGGCAACCGGCAGAATTTCTGGGGTTCTTCTAGCATCACTGGGGTCAGTCACCCCATCACGGGGGAGGGGAGTGCTGCCTCACTGCCTCCATCCTCATCCAGCTCCTCCTCACGGCGCCTGCCCCATCCCCGCGGCTTTCCCTTCTTCCCCATCTGGGCCTGAGCCCCTCCGGCTGCAGCGCTTCAGAGAGGTAGGGAGGGAGTCAGGATTTTAAGTCAATCTCATGATGTGGAGGGCCTGAGGCATGATTTTTGAATGTGTGGGTTGGCCAGACGGGAGTCCAAGGGGAACGAGGATCCGAGCTACTTCTGTTTTAGGATTGGCCCAACTACTAGCACTTAAAGCGCACACGCCTCTCGTACCCATCCTTAGTTATCATCTGTGTTGTATACAGCTATGTGTTGTTACGGCCTGGTTTTCTGTGCCCTCCACCTGGACATTTCACGGCCTCTGACGGAGGCTGCGTTTGCTAATGCAGCATTGTCACAGAAGGGGCATGCTGCACTCTCTCTCGTAGGCATTTACTTATGTTCTTTGTTGTTTCCTTGCATGTAAAATCCAAGTCGCTCCGATTGTTTTCCATCCAGATACTGTCCATCTGGTTAAACACCAGGTTCCAGGCGACTAGGAATAACCCGGCTCAATCTTTCAAAAACAACACGAGCGTTGGATTTCTTTTTAAAGCCACAGAGGGTGAGAATTGGAGTGGAGAGGATGCCGAGAAGTTATTGATCCAGAGGGCGTCAGAGTTGAAGGGGGAGAACTGGGGAAGTTTTGAACTATAGAAGAAACGTTTATCACAAAATTCTGGAAAAAAAAGTTCATTTTTTGGTGAAAATGTTGCAACCGTGGAAAAGAAGGAGTTGTGCTGAGCCATGGACTTTTAAGGCCAGCAGAGCCCATCTGTCTGACCTTCTGTATATCATACGCCAGAGAATCGCACCGTTACCGCTGCACTGAGCCCAATATTTTGTGTCTGGCTGACACATACCTTCCAGAAAGGCAGCCAGTCTGGATCTGAGGACATCGAGAGAGCGGGAGTGTACCTGTTCCAATGCTTAATCACCCTTACTGGGGGGTGCCAGTGAAAATGCCAGTCCCGGCTGAAACCCGACTTCACCTGGCATCAGAGTCGCCGTCCGGTCTGAGTCGCAGGGCACATATTTAGACAGAACGCCAGAGCAGAGAAGTGTAAGTTTAGAGGGACTCAGCAATGCAATGTTATTAAAAATTGATATTTCAATGAGCTAATCCCTTTCTCTTTGGCTTTTAATTGATTGGCTAAAAAGCATTACCTCCCCCCTTTTTTTTATTTGCGGGGAACATTAATTTTTTTATGGCCAAACAAATCTGATCGTAGTGGCAGAGGTATCCACACAGCACTTTCAGCAGCCATAAACAACTCGGCTAGCTGCAGACATCTGGGGCAAGGTCATTGGCTGGCAGAGCCAGGAGGTCTGAAATGATTCTCTCTGGAAGGCTGGCATGGCAGGGCACTGATCCATCCTGAAGGGACATGCCTGATTTTGACAGTGCAAGAAGGGGTGGTGTAACTTTAAGGGCCCAATCCTGCCAGGTGCTGAGCACTTGCCTTGATCCAAAAAAGCACGAAAGCCTGAACTTTAGAGGCAAAAAGCAACCTGAAAAAAACCTTTCCAGGCCAAAACAAGGTCATCATCCAGCTATGCTGCAGTAACAGCAGTGTCGTCTAGTGCATAGAGCACTGGACGGGGACATGGGAGACCGGCGTTCTATTCCCA